GCCATCACAATATCACTCTTCTATCATCTAGGCCGATTATTTGAAGATACAGGGAAGATATTTTTGATTTCAACCTGTGTTAATAACTGTAATATAGCTAGTAGAGAAGATTTAAGCAATACTAATTAGATCTTTCTATTTTTACAACAAAATCTCAATATTTCAGATTTCTACTTTAAAGTTTGATAATAAATACATTGAATATTTATATTGTTAAGCTTATACTGCTATTCTAAAAGATCAAATCTATTTTCTCTTTTTATAGTAAAATCATCTAAACTACATCTTGCAATATTATTAGAACTATCTAATTGCTAAATTATTCTTGTTAATCTACAATTTTGCTGTTCAACTCTATTTTTTTCTCTTATTTAATATTGTTCTGTTAATCCTTATCAATACTCTTGTTGTTTAAGATGAAAATAATATCTTTTTTACAAGTTTGATGATAAATCAAAGGTGGTTAATTCAGCAAATGCTTCTGATTATATTGGTGAAATAAAGACTAAGAGTTATTTGATACTAATACTAATTCCAAACTTGCTGTCACTAGGATTGTTACTAAATTTATTGCTAAGTCTGTCGCTGAGATTGTTGTTGAGGTTGTTGCCAAAGATATTGCTAAGGTTGTTGCTAAAGTTGTAGCTAATGGTGTTGCTATAGTTGATATTGCAAATATTAGAACTATATAATTTGGATTATCTTTATACCACTTAGTGATAGCTTTGCATCTGTTATCTAATCTTCTAGCTTTTATAATTTTTTTTCTAGTGGATCTTCAGATGCTAGATGCTTATAATTAGTATTTTTGCAATATATGGTAGAGTTGGTAGACTTTGACATTTGCAAAGCATAGTAATAATTATTAAATAATTATATAAATCTAAAATAATTTAAATATAAAATATAAAAAAAAATAAATTTTAATATTAATAATTTTAATTAATATATATGCTAGCAAATTGCCACTTTACTATTTACAGTATTAGCAACTACATATATATTAATTAAGAAATTTACAAAAAATAAATAAATAAATAAATAAATAATAAAGAATTTAAAATGCAATAATCTTATAGTGAGCTGGAAGATTAAGGCCTTTATAAAAATATAAACCAACACAGCAAAAACATCTTTTTTCTTTAATAAAAAAAAATTTAGAAAAAATTAAAAATATTTTTATTAAGCAAAAGATTTTTTTAATAGGTACTGAAACTTTGAATGAAAATTACTTGACATTTATCTAACCAAATTCAATTAAAGTTTTTTTTATTTTATTTCTATGAATCTAGAGAATTAAAATAAAAAAAAGATTGAATTAAGTTAGATAAGTGTTGAGTAAGCTTTGCACAAAATTTTAAAAAAAATCTGCAGCCAAATTTTAGTTTGAATTTTAATAAATATTTCTCAATAAAACCTGTACAAATTTGATTAATTTTTTTTGTATAATTCTGTAGATCTGTAGAATTAAATTAAAAAAATTTCATTGAGAAACCTTCGCTTAAAGTTTAAATAAAAAATTATTATAACTATTTTTTAAAAGTTTTCTTTTTAAAACCTATAAACAAAGGTTTCTCAATAGCTACCTGTACAAATTCGAATAAATTTTTTTTATTTTAATCTATGGATTTACAGAATTAAAATAAAAAAAAATTATTGAATTTAAAAGGTGAGAGTTGAAAAATCTTTGTTTAAAGTTCAAAACAAAATTTAGCCACAGCCTTTTTATAAAAGGTATTGAAATTTTGAGCAAAGCTTACTCGGCACTTACCTAACCAAATTCAATCAAAATTTTTATTTTAATTCTATGAATCTATAAAATTGTAATGAAAAATGGATTGAATTTGGTTAGGTAAGTGTCAAGTAATATTCATTCTAAGCTTCAGTACCTATTAAAAAAATGCTGTGGCCAAATTTTGGTTTGAATATTAAACAAGGATTTTTAAATAATCAGCTATTTAAATTCGATAAAAATTTTTTTATTTTAATTCTATATATTCATAAAATTAAAATAAAACTTTTGTACTTGTGGTTGTTGAGAAATCTTCATTTCAAGTTTTAAAAAGATAATTTTTTACAATTTTAGCTTATTTTTCTGATATTTAAGATTTTTTACATTTTTATCGATAATTTCTCAATGACCGTTAAACCAAATTTAATAAATCTTTTTTTATTATAATTCTACAAAAATATAAAATTAAAATAAAAAAAAGTTCACTAAAAAATGATTGAGAAACCTTCGCTAGAAGCTTTTAAAAAAATTAAAAAATTTTATAATAACCAATCACAATTAAGGATTCGTAGATTCTACGTAGATCGCAGATCAGTGAAAATCTGTGGTGCTGCTGGGTATCCTTATGTTAAGCAAATTTCAGGCTTAAGATCATTTCCAGCCTAAAAATTTTGGGTCGTAGTATATCAAAAATTTCCTATATATTTAGTATATAAAAATGCCCCCTATGACTAAAATTTCGTGCTGAAAACTTTTATTTAAAGGTCGGAAGTTAGTTAGCATAGTAAAATTTTGCGTTATTTACAATTTTTTGCATTTTCTTATATTTTTTGTGTTTGTTTTGTTACACAAGATCCTGTAATTTTATTGGATCCGATCTACGAAATTTATGATCGGAAGTGATCTTCAGCGATCTTCAGCCCGGAATTTGCTTGACATATGGTGCTGCTGGGTAGTTAATGCGCCACTAACGTGGCACAAATTCAAGAATTGCAAGTTTCGAAATAAAATCAATTACTGTAACGCTAAGCCAATAACTTTTCAGTCGAAGTATATCACATATTTGCATCCTATATTAAAAATTATGTACGTACATACGTCTAATTAGTGATGTAATATAATCCATCGTGCGCGATGCGACCCAATGACTGGTTATCAATTACATAAATTATTATTATTTTTTTTTCAGCCGTTAATTCAGTAATTTTTACCTGCCATTTCTGATCATTAGTAATCAAACCTTAACTAACTAGCTGTGCGATAATCGTGTAATCAAACCCTTAACTAGCTGTGCGATAGTCGTGTAACTAGCTGTGTGATACGTAGTCGTGTAATCAATGAAATGCCCAAATTAAGTGCGTTAGTACAATTTAGGCTTTTAAAATAGAATGAGATCAGGAATTTACTTGTTTGGACATTTACAAAGTATCGTTATTATATTTTTAAACTTAAAAAAAAAAAAAAAACTTACAAATATTGGGGTAAATTTATGTTAGTACATTACTAAAAATGAAACAAAGGGCTTCTAACGCCATCGCTATTGATAAATTTTAATTATTTTAGCATAAAATGCCGCCATTTTTGCATTTGTTGAGATCAAAAATATCATGCAAGCTCGCATTGGTTGGTATACAATCTTTAAAAGTGAATAACAGGTATTTATTTATCGATATCACGATAAAGATAATGTATCATAAGCCACGCTTTTTTAAAAAGACCAAAAGATCTATTAGATCAGCAAATAAGGGAAATACGCTTGTGCACGATGCACATTTATATAAAGAAGTTTAATGACAGATCGTATATATATATGTCAGCAGCATCCTTCGAATAATTAGAATGAAAAAAAATTGAACATGCAAGCAAACAACATTAATGAAAGAAGCAAACTAAAAGTTCTAATTGCTGGTGGAAATGGATTCATCGTACGTATACTCTCCATATATGAATGTTTACTCTTGATGTTATAATCATTTGATAACTTTTTAATTGGATATTAGGGTAAGCATTTAGCAAAGTACCTCCACAATCGTGGCGACCACGTTCGGATAGTAGATATTACGCATGTTTTATCAGAAAAACCAGAAAATTATTGTACTGAATTTATTCATGGTGATTTAAGGGATTTATCAATATGCCGTAAGG